GACATGCTGGAGGGGGACACTGATGTGCAGCTGCTGGTCGTCATGGCAGCCCGTTTTGTTTTGTTTTGTTTTGCTTCTTTTTGTTTTACCTGAGCTAGCTTTAAACAGGCCAACTGTGGTGCTGCAAGCTGTGTAGCAACAATAACATGGAGCAGACTGGTAGCTGGAAATCTGCCCAGGGGTAAGATCAGTGGTTTGGTAGATAACCTTTCCATTGGGAGCACAGCTATGGGAGGTCACAGCTTTGCAGCTATCAGCATTCAAGCCAACTAATTTCAGGCTAGCTGGGTCCTTCTGTGCCACCCAAAGTTGCAGTGAGCATGACAGGTTGCTGGGAAGAGTTGCATTCATTGTTTCCCCCAGGCACGTATGAGGAGCAGGGGAGATCAGTTTGTCACTGTGGTTCTGTGCCTGTGCTGTACAGAGAGGTTCATCCCTTGAGAGGTGATTTGAAATGTGCAAATAATTATTACTGGGACGAGCACACGCACTAGAGAAGAAGCTGTCATCTTCATAGAATTCCACTTCAGTTCATTCAGTGTACTCTGAGGCAAAGTGTTTCGCAGGATCTGATAAGTGTCTGTCACTACATTGTGCAAAAAATGTCCTAGGAGATATCTTAATTACTGACAAAAAATGCAACTTTCAAATGCAACAGCAAAGAAAAAAAAGTTGAAAAGCCATGGAAGATAATTTTACATTAATTTCTACCAGAGACTGAAGTATCCAGCTCCAAAAAATCAACAGAAATTAGTACCCCACTAAAGAAACAATGTCTAAGAAAATACTGAAAGAATTGCTTGATTTTTCCTTCAGAGCTCTCTGACTCACTTTTAAACTTTTTTTTTTTTTCAATTTAAACTTTTTTTTTTTTTCAATTGGCATTCAGAATCCTACTTCTACTAGAGTTAACTTGTTCAGCTATTCCTTTTTAGGTGATGGGCAGTGCTGTTCCTCCCGGTCACCACCCAGTCCTCCCTGCCTTTTGAAGAGAGACAGAGGTTTTCTTGAGGGCTATGGGGCCACCATGAGCTGCTGCTCTCTGCAGAGCTGTGTGCTGGCACATCTCTCTCCTTGACATCTCAGAGATACGCTTTTTTTTGGGGAAGAATTTGTAATACATAAAAAGATTTTTAAAAAAAGCAAGGGGATAAAAAGAGCTAGAAGACTTACAAGAAAGCCATGAAATTCTGGTGTATATTATGGGGAAATATTTAATTTGGTGTAATTAACAGAAAATTCAGTCTACTGCAATGACATCATCCCTAACATGTAGTTCAAATATTTCCTCAGGATATACAGAACTGTGAAATAGAATAACTTCAATTCTGAATGAATAGAAAAGAAGAAAATTAAGTTCATCTAGGTCACTGAAAGGACATAAATTTTTTATTTGACATTATCATTTGAACAGACAAAACAGAGAATTGTTGAGTAGCACACCAAGCTAGCATGCTAAGGTTCGTATAGTTGTAGGCTACAGATAGGAAAATAATCATGTAAAGTCTAAAATATCTCTGAATCTGTGGAATAAAATAAAAAAGTATATTTGACAAAAAGTTCCTTCACAGAACTACTTCAGGGATGGTAGACAATATCATCACGGTGTTATGAGAAAACAACTCTGATCTATTACAGATAGGGGAGATGAAAATGGAATTTATTTTTTTTTTTAAAGAGTGAAGATTGATTTATTCACTGTGTAGGTGACCAAAGGCAGCTGTGATTTGCATGCTGCAGAATTCATATTGGCATTTGTACTAAAACTTCGAGAGCACAGAAGCTGTTTAAGTTCAGGTTATTAGCTCCTTATTAAGAGTACAGAAAGGCTAAATTGCTTTTCCAATTCACTAGTCCCCTTTTTTAATCCTAATAATAGTTTTCTTTTTTCCTGCCATTACAAATATTTATCTAATTTCAAATCATAGAAGATCATGCTGTCCTTGTATTGGCGCCTATTTCTCTAAGCTGACATTTTAGTTTTTGAAAAAATATTATATTTCGATATATCATCACTGGACCCTGGTTCACAAATTAAAGGATTCTGATCCTGTCAGCATATAATAGAAAATGAGCACATGTAATTAATAGATTTGGGAGAAATCTTTAGAATTTTGTCTAAATGTCTGACTTTTGGTAGTATTTCACAATGGCACAGGTGTTATTTTCTGGCTTGAATCATGTTATTTAATATAACTGTATTGACTCTGTTACACATCTGTGATAAACATCTCTCTGTTTATTTTCAGTGTATTTTGATTATTTGCTCCAACATGTTTCTTTTGGAAAGAAATTAAGTGGGGATGCCAGTTCAGCAAATAGTAGCTTTTCATTTCTCTATTCCTAGAGTCACTAAAAACCCTTTGTAGTCTCATATTTTGAAGAAGCTCATTTTTCAGAGTTTCAGAATTTTCTATTATAGAGTCTGGGAGTCAAAAAGCCCCACAACAGCCACACCCCATACATTTTGGACTTAGGCAAAACGTTTTTTAAAAGCTTACCTAATGTCCCCTTGCCCCTGCAATGAAAGGACTGGGTCATACTTTTCTTACTCTTGAGTTACTATTTCAAAACTTGAAACCAAAAGGGGAACATGAGTTCTCTTGAGAAAAATGTCTGTTTGAAATTCCATCTGTCTTGGTATTTGTTATCTTCAGCTGGGGCGCATGTATAACTTTTTCCTTAAGTGATTATAGAGGACAAGGGATGAATTCCTCATAAGCAAATTATTTCATTAGATTGATCTACCTGCAACAAAGTGATTCCACCACAGATGATTTAGCAGTGATTTAGTTCAAACTACTGCCAGGATGAAAAATGTTTTGAATTAATACTGTTCGTGTAAGGAACAGGGTCAGGCAGAGATATAGGGAACTGTCATTTGTACATAAATCTAAGCGCTATTTTATATGATCCCCAGCTACTGACATGAAGCTGTTTGATAGCTTGCTGTGTTCTCCCTTTTTTCCTCCCCTCTTTGTTTAACCTTTGTGCCATGGACACATTTTTCCTCTTTGCACTGCTTTCTGCATATCCAATTCAGAGCTATCCAGGCCATGCTTGACCTTGACAGACTCTACAGTCTACTAGTTAATCCCTTTGTATAATTATTAATTAACTTTTATTTTACCAGACTTGGACTTGACTGGACTCACTTGGTGGTCTCAGAAGCCCCACGTGACATGGGAAGCATGGGAACAGTCTCCCTGTCAGTGGCTTGGCCACTGCAAATAATCTGGGATCTACCAATAAAGACTAGCTTGGAGGATGAGGAAAGGAGCAATACCTCAATGAAAGTGTATCCCCTAAACTCATAGAATCTTTTAGTTTGGAAAAGAGTTCCAAGATCCTCAAGCCCAACCTTTGACTGATCACCACGTTGTTAAATAGACTCTGGCACTAAGTGATAGGTCCAATCATTTCTTGAACGCTTCCAGGGACGGTGGGTGACTCCTCCATCTCCCTGGGCAGTTCACTTCAATCTGTTCCAGTCTCTCTGCTTTTGCACTGAGCAGGCTGGATAGCTGTTCCCTGGGAAACCGATATTCCCATCTATAATATAGTCATGATGGATCCTTGTTTCTGTTAAAAGTGTGATACAGAATCCAAATTAGTCATACACGTAGCCTGCTCGGGCCATTTTAAAAGTCGAGTTATTTGTAGGCCTGGTAAGGCAAATTGCTCTGCATGCTGCCCTGACCTGTGTCAAAATGAAAAGTTGAGTACATCAGGGGAAGCAGATCCCTGTGCTCCTCAAGAAAGAGGTATCTGACATACACAGAGACCCTAATCCTCAGGTGACCAATTTTACTGTTTTAGAATGCTGTTTGTACCTCACAGGCTGTAGGATGGAGCCACGGAGAGCTCGGTGGATTGCAGAAATGTCGCATGTTCATAAAAGCTGACAACTCCTCTTTGAAAGTGAAACGTGTTTCTCACATTTAGGAGAAAAATAAGAAGAGGCTCCCTGCACAGGGCAAGGGGAGTTAAGCTTTCTTCCCATTCTGGGCCTTCAAAAAGTCATTGCAGAAAGTGTTGTAACACAAAGTGATTTTAACCTGCCTCTGCTAATGTGACATTTGGAGCATGGCTGTGGCAGTCTGATGTGACAGCAGGCAAATGTTGTGTTGTGCTGTGTTAGTAAATGGCAGACGGCCTGGTAAAATGAGGGACTTATTCACATATTTAGTCTGTGCTTCCCCTCTCCAGAGGAAAAGACTTTGAAAAGTCTCTGAAGTGTGAATCCCAAAGGTCAGTAAATGCACAAAGGCCTTGTTGGATGTAGAGAAGAGAACAGAATTAAAAAAAAACTATTTGTGGTTTTTCACACCCAGAAAATGTTAAGTAGATTTAAGGCTGTGGTTGTGTATAGATGCTATAAATCATCAAAAGCTTTTTAACTGCTCATATCCAGGTTTGATAAATTCAGCTGACAGCTTAAGTGATAACCTGTAGCCAAATGCTAGATTATTGCCTGTGTGTCATAGGTTCATTTTTCAGCACTTTAGAACTACTTTAATCCCTGAAAGACTCAGGTAGCTTTAGTCCATCTGATTTACTGTGCTAGATAAAATCAGTGGTGCACATGACTCCAGTCGTGGACTGACTCTGGAGAGAGTGGGGTTTACAGAAACATTAGTTCTGGAAAAGACCGTGGGCTTGCAAGCCATAAATATGTAGATAGGTGTCCTTTGGATATAGAATGCCCTACTGATGCCATGGACCATTGTGTAAGCTAAATATTTCATCCCTTGTCTGATCTTGAGTTGGACTTTTGCTTCTGTTTCCCTTGTTAATACATATTTCAATTATCTTTTTTAATGAAAATTCAAATTACTTTTTTAGCGCTCTATGGTCTATCTATTTGTATGGAAGAGGCTGGCTAAATGAAAGGAGTACAAAAGATAAAATGTTTGGGGGAAAGACAACTGAGTTAGCCTTTTTCATTTCTAAGTCACTCAAGAATTTTGAAAATGCTACCCAAACTGGATTTTCCCAAAGGTTAGCTCAGCTGGTCAGAGCATGGTGCTATTAATGCCAAGGACATGGGTTCGATCCCCACATGGGCCATTCACTTAAGAGCTGGACTCAATGATCCATGTGAATCCCTTCCAACTCAGGATATCCTGTGATTCTGTAAAGCTCGCTGGCAGCCAAGTAAACCTAGACATGCCCCATCCCAAATGGACCAAAGCTGAAACCCATCTTTTTTAAGATGTTCTAGCCAGAAAAATGCATCTCCCTTGGCTTCATGTCTGGAGATTTGAGCACGTAGACATATTTCCAAGTTTTTCCTCCCTTAGACCTCTGTTGTGACTGACAAAAGAGATCTGACCAGAATAATGATAGTGGTGTTTTTGCTCTTTTACTGAATACGAAAAAGAGAATTGCAGTCTAGGTAGGAGCATTGCAAAGTTCCTCAGCTCTGCCTTGTGAAATTTAACATAGAGATTTACTTAGCATGAGATCCTAAAAGGAATAAAAGTTTATCTTAAATGATCTGTCAGGTTCAATTTATTCACATTAATTGGCCTGGAGCTCTTCCATTTAGCAAAACCTTGGCTGCTCTTGCATGGGCAGAGTGCTTGGAAGGAAAGGCTCTTTTTGCTGCCTAAAGATGTGCCCATGGAAAGCTATCCAACTAGCATCCCTGGCAGGGCTTCCTATCCCACAGGGCCATGGACAGATGTATTGGGAGAGTAGCTTTGGGCCTTCACAGTCTGCATACATACCTCCAGTGCTGGGCAGCGGATCCTACAGAAATGTGTACTGTCTCTTTCATGACAGATTTGAGGAATTCAAGAAATGACTGGACCTGGCACTTAATGCCATGGTCAAGTTGACAAGGCAGAGATCAGTCAAAGGTTGAACTCCATGATCTTGGAGATCTTTTCCAACCTAATTGATTCTGTGATTTTTGTAATTTCAAGCAACCTTCTTGCCTCAAACAGCACAGGCATGGCCAGGCATGGGTAATGGGGGCAAGGTGCACTCAAGCCTTCGGGCAGATGCCAGCTGTGGACTCTGGACATGCATTAAAATTATGCATGTTGAAACCCCAGACATAGCAGTGCTTCTCCTGAAGTTCAGAAAACTGCAAGCTACAGATGCAAAGAATGGAGACAAGAGATAATTTCTAAGCCTTTGCAGCATCTGTTGCTTTGCGCTTTCACCGGCTCACTAATATATAGACTGAAAGAACAGGTGTAAAAGTGGCTCAAAAGTAGTCTTCATTACAATATAATTAATTATCTCATGACTGTCTGTAATTTACACTCATTCAAGAGGAGCTCATTCCAGGTGACATTCGTATTCTCATCATTTTGGATAAATTTAGGATGAAATATTTATACTGTATTTAAGACTACATATATTCCTCTTGTTTGCTTTCCTTTCATCTTGGCATTGCAACTGTTATTAAAAACAAGCAAAAAGTGGACAGACAGGAGTAAGGGAGTGAAATGTTACATTTGCATGTCATAAACCAAGTACTCAAATTATTACTTGAAATTACAGGACCAAAGTAAAAACTCACAAATAGTTTTCCCCTCCATTCTAAAGTATAAAATTACTCATGTTGAAAATCTCTAGCAATGAGAAAGTTACAACCAGCTGAGGTAAACTCAATTCATGGTCCAGATAAAGAAAACTGGAATAGTCTGTGCTGGCAGACCTGATTTTAACTGGGTGAGATATTAGGTCATGGAGTGGCTTTTAGTCACATTGCATTAAGAAAGTGAAATTCTGTCCCTGTTTTACATTGCTCAGGATGGGGATGGAAACACAGAGTTGAAATATTTCATAATGTTACTCTAGTTCAGTAAAACTGTTTGCCACTCAGCATTCCAAATAGTTTTTTGACTAAAACAGAAATGGGAAAGCTGCCCAAGATGCACAGAAAGGAAATACAGTCTTCAGGGTTCTCTGAATTTTTCCTTTGTCAATCTTTTTTTATTCATCTTTGTTGATATCTATGCAGAACAGAGAACTGTTAAAAAACTAGACCTTGAAATCTAGGTTTAATTCTTGCTGTGGTAAAAATGCTAGGAATTTTACAATTGATTAAATTTTGTATAAAAAAATAGTGATATGCATATACTGGTATCTCAGATTTGACATTAGCATCATATAACATCCTCTGCCACCACCATGTGTGTATTTTCCACTCCTTGTAGAAAGCTGGTCCCTGGAAGAGTGGTAAACTGTCCCTGGAATAGTGGTAAACTCCTTTGTGCTTTGACTAGAATATCCTCCTGTGTATTCCCTTTTCTGAGATAGTATGAGTTTTCTGGGAATTGTCCTCGTCTGAGATTTGTTAATTGCTGTTCAAGAAATTGCCACAGATTTCCCAAACTAAAAGATGTGGGTGCGTTGTAAAGGTCTGAAGCAGGAGGAGAGGTTCTTAGCTTGTACACATGATAGGTTTCCATCCTATACTACAATGTAACAGTCATTCTCAATGATGGGATTTTTGTCTGTGATCCATAATTATGAGGGTAAAGAAGGACTTAGGGGACTATTCAGATTACATGTTGGCCAAATCATCAGGTAATGATCATACAGAAGAAACCGCCAGGACAGTTATGCCATACACATTTCATTTTTCAAAATAAGCTAGCTAGATGATGGTGGATAATTAATCCCAATGGAATAACCAAGGACAAGCAAAATTGAATAGTTGCTTCTCTTTTTGATCTGGAATTGTTCTATAAATTATTCTGTTACCTAAAAATCAATAGCTGATCTGTTAGATGGATAAAACCCAAACAAAAGATAAAATATAAATGAAGCTGCATCACACTGAATTGGGTCAAATCCCATTGGAAATGGGTCAGGCCTTTAGGAATCATTCCCTACTGTTGATTATAATGAGTGCACAAGGTTTTAAAACCAGCTTACAGCTTTTAATCAGCAGTAGCTTATGGTATGATGAATTACTGCTGTATATGTGCTGTAATTAAACAGTGCTTTATGAAGACTGTAGTTGTAACACTAAACTCTGAGACTGATACAGCAAAGTTCTGAATCCATCCTGAAATGTTAAATTGATGGACATTCAGGACCTTCAGCATCTCACACAGTCAAACCTGTAATGCAACAGACAGCACAAGAGACCTTGTTTTGCACAGGGATTAAATATTCATCTGTGACTGTAGCAGCTTTTAAATTTTTAAGGTATTGATCCACAGCCTACTTTGATCTTATATAATCTGAACCAATGTTAAGTACCCAAAATATAGAAATTATTTTCTTGAGCCATACGAAATACAAAACTTTATTTCCTTCAAGAAATGAAGTTTTACCAGGTGTGTGATAGCCTGCTGCAATGCCTTCTTCTAGGACTACAAGTGAAAAAGGTGTACATAGAATTTATTTTTTGCTAAAGTGTCTATACAGTTAATTGTGTGTCATTTTGAATGGGGTTTTTCATGGATTGGTTTTAGTTTGTTTTTTTTTTTTTTTTTTTTTTGACAAATGTACAAATTGACTCTGCTTGCCAGGAAAATGAACTACCAAATTTCATTAATATATTTGTTTTATTTGATAACTGAATATTATGGATTTAATTGAAAGCTATTTTAGTTAGTTTACCAATTAAATGGTAAGAATGTAGATCCGCAAGCTGTTCCTCAGATGTTTGCTTGATCTTTGTTTCCCTGCATGCCCATATTTACACCAGCATTTATCTGCTCCAGACTTGCACTAAATGTGGCACATCTAAGCCAGGTCTAAGCCCTAATACCTAGAACAAATTGTTTTCTGACAAAATGCAACACAGCTCAGGATGTCCCCACACACAGCAGATAGACCACCCACATAAAAAGTGCATAATTCAGATGTAGTTCCAACCTCCGATCACTGTAGAAAAAGAATTTGCATCAAAACCTCCTTTATTCTGAAGTCACTGAACTGCTCCTGAGATATATCTGAGGTGAATTTCTAAGACTTTCATGCTTATTCTTTTTTGCTATGTATAAATAACTAAATATTAATTTACCACAAAGAAAGAGTAAAATGACAGTCCAGAAGCTGGGGCATTAATCTAAACTGAGGGAGAACTGATTTTGGATCCCTCATACAGATTTTTCTGAGAGGGAACTTAAACCATTATTTGATGAATCTCAGAGGAATGTTCCTGTTACTGATCTAGGATGCTGAGTAGGGATAGGGAGAATTCCTATTTCTTGTCACAAAAAAGTATTGGGTCAGATCTAGAATATATCTGCACTGTTAATTATGCCCATATTTGTTTTTGACCTTGGTGCCTAGATCATTGAATCTCTTGACTAACACAAGTGGAAATAGTACTGGAAATTCCTTAACTTATATTTGAAAAGTCATAGACTTTTGAATTATTTATTAACGGGAAAAGGTAAATAATTAACTTAAACTCGTTAAATGGTAGGAAATGTCAAGAAAAATCTTAAGCCCAAATATATCAATGCAACAGGAGTCATGTCTGGCTGAGCTTAGTTTTTGTTGTCTGTGTGCTGCACTCTATTTGTGCAGGTCTAAGTGACAGCAGGATTATTTTTTGCGAGCAGGTATTGTTTTCTTTAGTGGCCTCTATGAAAACCTTTCTTTCAAACATTTGTCCTTCAACTCTCTTCAAAGCTATGCTGCTAAATCATTGTGTAAGAAAGGAATAACTTATTAGTTCTGTGTTTGTTTTCCTGCACCTTTTATTTGTAAGGAGATCATCTCAGGAGATGAAACCTGTGTCACGTGTGATATCCATGAAAATTCAAACAACTTACCCAGATATTTGCATCTGGGTAAGTTGACTTGAACCACCTTAAAGAAAGACAGTTCCAGAATGAAACTAAATCTCATCCTTTGGTATGTGTCTATAGGAAATCAAGGAAATCATACTGTGTAAGAAGTGCCTGTCTTTCTTCTTGACAGAGACCCCTGACAAGGTAGCTCTGATATACACCATACCCACTGAAGTTTGAGCAGAGGAATCCCACCAAATTATCTTCTAACTAATAAATAGTGTAGTGGGTCTAAAGAGGAGGAATTAACTTTGGAAATAAGTTACATGGAGCACTACCCAGTTGCTTCTTCTG